TGAATTTTAATTTTTAATAAAAGAGTAATATGTAAATTGACTGTACCTCTGCTACACCAACAAGCCACACCCACCAGCCAATCAGGAGTGAGTAAGCAAATTAAACCCAACCAAGATGGCTGTGGCCACAGAGAGAGTAGGAGGCTTGGGTTTCCCCAGCAATGGAGGAAGCCAAGCTTTCCGCCTGCCCTGGCCTGCCTTGGCCTCCGCTTAAGGCTACAGAGTTTCAATTATAGAAGATAAAGAAATCCCAACAAAAATGGTGGCAGCCACAAGACCAGAAAGAGCAGGAGGCTTGAGTTGCCCCTGGTGATGGAGGAAGCCAAGTTTCTGCAGCCCTGGCCTGCCTTGGTCTCCGCTTAAGGCTACAAAGTTTCAATTATAGAAGATAAATAAATCCCAACAAAAATGGCTGTGGCCACTGAGCAAGGAGGAGGCTTGGTTCTGCTGAAGGCTACAAAGTTTCAATTATAGAAGATAAATAAATCCCAGACACTGGGGCCCCCCCTGCTTGGGTTGCCAGGGGGTGTGGCCAGCCAAAACCACAAAAGGCCCCTTCCCCAGGCCGTCCCACGCCCCAGGGGAACCTCCACCCTGATCCAGGACACCCTTCAGGGCAAACCAACCGGCCCCCATCCATGCACCAGCCCTCTATCCTATCTAATAAAAGAATAATATGCAAATTTACCATCACTCCAACACACAATATGGCTGCCCCCATGTGGTCGAAGATGACTGCTCCCATGTGGACACAAGATAGACAGCAGGGAAGGGCAGTTGGGAGGGACTAGGTCTGCAAGGTGGGTGATCAGGCCAGCAGGGAAGAGCAGTTGGGAGAGACAAGGCTGCAGGGCAGGGCAGCTGGGGGTAAACGGGCCGGCAGAGGGAAGTTGGGGGGCGACTGGGCCTGCAGGAAGGGCAGTTGTGAGGAACCGAGGCCTGCAGGGGAGAGCAGTTGGAAGGGGGGTGACCAGGCCTGCAAGGGAGGGCAATTAGGGGTAACCAGGCCTACAAGGGAGAGAAGTTAGGGGTCACCAGGCTGGTAGGGGAGTGGTTAGGTGATCAGGCTGGTAGGCATAAGCAGTTATGGGAAATCAGGCAGAGGCAGGCGAGCAGTTGGGAACCAGCAGTCTTGGATTGTGAGAGAGATGTCTGACTGCCCGTTTAGGCCTGATCAGGCAGTCAGACATCCATGGAGGGGTCCCAGATTAGAGAGGGTGCAGGTTGGGTTGAGGAACACACACCCCCGTGCACAAATTTTGTGTACCGGGCCTCTTGTAATAAATAATTATCATTGTTGAATAGTTGGATAGCAGGTGATTTTTTTCTTCTGTTAGCTCCTCTGTATTTTTCATTTTTTTCTTCAATCAATATATAACATTAAAAAAAAAATAAGATAAAATGTACCACCAAAAAGGACATTGGGATTTCAATGAACCCATAAAACAAGTTTATCATACTGTTTTACTTATGCCTTGCTAACAGATGTTTTTGTGTATGACAGAATTTGCTTCATTATAACCTGGCAAACAAGGCTATAGAGGAGTAACTAATCCTTATCTATCTCCAACTGCCTAGGGCTCCTAACTAAAAAGAACCTAATAATTGTGCATGACCTAAATAATTGAATTTGGTCTGTTTGTCACAGATGGGGAGGAAGCATTCCTCTTGGAACTCTAAAGCAAACACATATCCTGAATTATTTTTGCTAACGTAAGCATTATATCGAGTCTAGTAATAATTAATGTCGTTTTTAAACATTCGTTTAAAATCTTGCTTGGCGTTGACTTGTATTGACAGAACCTTCAAACACGTGGTATCTACAGAACGTGTGAAGTGCAATTAACAAGTTTTGCTTGAAAAAGTTTGTGTTTGGTTTGGTTTTTGTTGCAAAACTAGGGCTAAGAAGATGGCAGATAAAGAGCATATTCGGCACTGCATGCTTTACGAGTTCCAATTAGGAAGAAAAGCAAGTGAGGCTGCAAAAAACATCTGTAGTGCTCTTGGTCAAGATGCAGTTAGCGCCAGAAAATGCCAGCGTTGGTTTGAGAAATTTCGCGAGGGAAATTTTTCGTTAGATGACAAGAGTGGTCGAGGCCGTGTGTCCAATTTTGATCAAGAAGCTCTTCAAGCTCTTTTGGTGCAAAATCCTCAAATTACCCAACAAGAGCTTGCGACAACTTTAAATTGTTCACAGAAAACAATTTCCAATCAATTGCGTGCACTTGGCAAAGTCCAAAAGTTTGGAAAATGGGTTCCTCATGAGTTGACCGACAACAACCGTAATCAAAGAGTCACAATTTGCAGTTGATCTGTATAATATTTTTTTCAGCTTGTTTTGTACTCTAATTATTTGTATATTTGTTGCTATATTGTAAATGTGTGCCCTCCTGCCCGAATTCATACCAGTATATTGATATCCTAACGCCTGATATGAGGGTATTTGAAGTTGGGGTTTCTGGAGGTGTTTAGGTAATGAGGGTGCAGCCCTTCTACGTGGGATTAGTATTCTTATGAAAGGGTTTTCACAGTGCACCTTCTGCCATTGAGGCTACAACTAGTGTGCAACCTGGAAGGAAGCCCCCAATTAACCACTCTGACACCCAATCTTAGACTTCCAGCCTCCAGAACTGTGAGAAATAAGTTTATGTTGTTTATAAGCCACCCAATCTGTGGTATTTTGTTACAGCAGCATGGATGGACTAAGACACTTCTCATTTCTACCAGACTATGAAGTCTGTGAAGACAAAGCAGTGTAGTGTGGAAAGAGAATGTGATTTGAGGTCTAACACACTCAGATTTAAATTCTAGCTTCCTTCTTAGCAACTCTGAGACACTGGGCAAGTTTCTTAAATTCTTAGGGCTGTAGTTCCCAAATTCTTGAATGGGATAGCAATAACTATCCTGTTGTCATCCCCACTGAAGACAAGAGCTTAGCACAAAATGGTAACTATTGGAAATCTCTGTAAATCCTCTATTTCCAATTATATTACTTTGATAAGTACTATAGGCACTTGATTAATATTTCTTGAATTAGATGAACTGAAGTGTAACATGTTATAGGACCTTTTCCTTGAAGCAGAAAAAAATGAGGTCATAAGGTCATCTACTTTGTCTTTTAGATTAACTTTTTTTGTTATAAAGCACTAAGATTATTTTCTTTGTCTCTCTGAACCTTGTCTTTCTTTTTCATTCCTCTCAATTTGTAACTATAAAGTTCTCAATAGATTTTTGACAAGATCTATAACTACCTCTGAAGTTAGATCTTTTGCTTTCCCTACGATTTACTCCTAATGTAGCATTAGATTTTTCCATAAATTTTGAAGGTATACCAGTCTTTCTGAAATTGCTAAAGAGAGATTCTTTCATTTCCTTTTGTGGTGGCAAACATATTTTATTTATACTTCTTCCAACACACATATATCTTTAGCTTCTAAATAAAATGGATTCCACAGTCTTAGCATAATCTAAATACACATTAGATGCCAGTGGCTGAATATATGAGAAAACACATTTTATCAGTAAAATTTTGTTCCAGAAAATTTCATTATAAAATTATGACAGATCTCAGAGACTTGAAAAAGCCTCTCTCCTTGCCTGATCAAACTTTCAAGAATCAACATATCTAAATCACTGATGCTAAGAGTATTGTTAATTTCAAATTGTTTGGGGGGTAATAATAGAATATAACCTAATAATAGTAAAAGAAAAGCAACCCTACTCCTTGGGAAATTTTTTTTTTTTACATGCTTCTGTAACCAAAAGCATGTGGTTAGTGATATTTCTCAAAAAACTCAAAATCTATAAATTTCTTTACAGCCCTACATTTTCTTCTCCTATAGCTCACCAGGCGTTTTATTCTCTCCTTTACATTCCTGCTAGTTATGAAATGACTGCCAGATGATGAAAAAGGCTCCCAAGATTGTTATCTGTTTCTAAATCTCCTTTCAGCCTCTGCAACTCGGTACTGTGTGGGCAATGATCACAACCCTGAGGAGCCCGAGGAAGATGGCACATCCAGAAAGCACCGACTTACTTCACAATTCACTGCACACTTCGTGTTCTTAAAAATAGCAGAAACGGAGCTAACATATCGACCTGTGCTTTTCTTGTCTAGTGTGTATCTTCCTGCCCTTCTGTACAAGTGTGCTATTTCCAAACGTTCCAATAAAACAACACTTGGTGTACAGAGTCGAGGTAACTCCTAGAATATTATGATGACACTTGTACGAAGGGGGAAATCCAAGCTAAGCACCGGGAGCTTCAAACAGAAACCCAGAACCTCAGGAAAAACAATAGAAGAGCATTCAACAACAACAACAACATGTGTCTATACGAGAATGGTGCCTTGAAACAGAAACTTAATCGCGGGGAGTTCTCCCAAGGTCCGTGAGAATAAAGGACAGGCGACCAACAGAGTAAGGGGCAGCGTCAGGGCGAAGGGCTCACCCTTCACAATCGGGGGGGATGGAAAGTACCCGGAGGTTCGTCGCCCTGCTCCCCGTAAGATGGTTGAACGACTCCGCTCTACACATGCCAGACTGTGGTCCCCGGCCTCTCTGCTGCAGAAGACAATCTCCTCGCTCCCATCCCCTCCTCCCAACGCCCCGTTCCAAGAACGCTGTCACCCACCTCCGAGGACCGTGCCCAGGAAGATACATTTCTTTTTGTGACGTTTGAGAAAATTCCACGTCGATCTCAGCATCTTCGGGCCCTGGAGGTGCGGGCTGCCTAGGGGTAGGGGTAGGGGTGGGGGTGGGGGGTTGCACTAGGAAACGGTTTCTCTGTCACCTGCCCTGGACCACCGACCCGGCAGGAACGCCGTGGTCCCGGCTGGGTGCGCTCCAGAAATCCCCAACACGACTTTCTGCGACCTGTCACCCGAGCGGGAAGGGGGCGTGGACGACAGCAGATCAGCTGCGCTTTCCGTGGCCGCCGCCGGGCCGCCGCCGCCGCTGATTGGACCGGGCCGCGCAGGTCCGCCCAGAAATCGCTCCCGAGTGCCGCGCCGATCCAATCCCCCCCGGAAACCGCAGGCTGCGCGCGCGCCGAGTTCCGGGCAGGGGCTCCCGCGGCGGCGCCCCGGCTTCCGGCGCTGAGCTCGCTGCCGCCCCGGCGCGGTATGGAGGCGAAGGAGGCATCCGCGCCAGCTGCCGGCGGCGGGTGCCCGGTGTCGGCGGAAGAGATCGAAAAGTGGATGGAGGAGGCCATGCAAATGGTGAGGTCGCCGTCGCGGGTGGGAACTGCTCCGGCTCTCTACCCAGCCTGATCGTTTGAGCAAACGCCCCTTGTGCTTTCTTGTCCCCATCATCTCGTGGGCGCCACGCTCTCTGGGTAAACAGCTGGCTCGAGGCCATTCTCATAGTGGCTCTGAGGAAAGAAAAGAGGAAATACAGAAGTTGTTTCTTTTTCTTTGCCATGAAGTATGCGTCAAATGTCCCTGTCCAGCTGCTGTTGGCACATACATGCAGCGTTCCCTTCTTTGCTGTGAACACATTAGCAAATCCGCCAAATCACATTATTTTGTATTTATGACCCCTTGACCCCGTAGAAGGAAGGAAGCTGAGGATGTTTCTGGTTGTGTAGATAAACCAAGCTCCTGTACAGTCATATTCTACCATCCATCCATCCATCCATCCATCCATCCATCCATCCATGCATCCTACTGCCTTCCCCTTGCTCTGGACTGTTGGTTAAGGAGGGCTCTAATCAGATTGTGTATAATCCAAGCTTTCCCCACACTTATGTGTATCAGCGAGCTCTTTAACAAGGATAAAAGTGCATTCAGCATATATACAGGGTGTCCCCCCAAAATGTATACACACAATGTCTGTAGATTCTATTACATTTTGAAAACACTGCCTTTATAATTATTCAAAGTGTGTATACATTTTGGGGGACATCCTATCTATAATAATAAAAGGATAATATGCTAATTAGACCAGACATCCTTCCAGACGACCTTCTGGACGAAGCCAGGGCTAGGAGTGAAGTCTGGTCCCAAGTGCCAGAGGGAAGCAGGTACTGGCAGCTAGGGGAAGGAAGGCCGACTCTTGCACGAATTTCAGGCTTTGGGCCTCTGGCTAATTCATAATTATATCATTATTCACTCCACAGATGTTTCTTAAGTGCACTGTGCTTGGCAGTGGGGGTTCAATCCTGAAACTGTTTTCGGCACCTTCTCTGTTCTCTTGTCACATTATTTTCTCTGCATTCATATACTAATACAGCCAAACACTTTTCTCTAAGCCAGTAGGCATTACAGCATCTATGCATTTCTTACATAATGTTCTTCTAAACTTGTTTCTTATGCTTTTTTGAGAGTGAATCACAGTAAAAAAAAAATAATAATAATAATAAAAAAAAAATCTATTTTGTATTACAGCCCAGTAAGCATAATACAAATTATTTTATACTTACTATACATAGGGTTTAGAGATTAGACTAGCCTTTGTACAGACCCTAGAATGGCCATTGACAGCAAACTAAGATTCTTAACCTTCCAGCCTCCAGTGCCTTCTATTAAATGGGTAGATAGCCCTAACTGGTTTGGCTCAGTGGATAGAGCGTTGGCCTGCAGACTAAAGGGTCCCAGGTTCGATTCCGGTCAAGGGCATGTACCTTGACAACTGATCGATATTTCTCTCTCATCGATGGTTCTAACTCTCTGTCCCTCTCCCTTCCTCTCTGTAAAAAAATAAATGAAATATATTAAAAAAATAAAATAAAATGGGCAGATAATATCTATCTGTTAGGGCTGTATAAGGAAGTTCTTTACTTATTTTCAATAGTGGAGATTTAAAACAGTGTAAACATCAAACAATTAAATGGATCATCTATTCATACAGAGGAACACTGTGCAACCTTAAAAAAATCATGTGCTGAAAATATTATCCAGCATGGAAAAATGTGTATATTTCTCAATGGAAAAGGTAGACTGCTGAACTGTATATGTAGTATAAATCTATTTAACTTTTAAAAAACTACAAATATGTATATGCAGGCATAGAAAAAAATTTGAAAATCTTTTGTTACAGAATAATAACTAAGTGGTTTTATTTTTTAACCAAAGGCCTGGCGCACAAATTCGTGCATTGGTGGGATCTCTCAGCCTGGCTTGCACCAGTGCACATATCCATGTACCAGGTCCCTAGTATACATATAAGATCTTTGGTTAATCTCTTCCTGCCCTCCCTTTGAGATTTATCAGTCTGTTCCATGTTTCCATGCCTGTGCATTGAGCATCTGCCCCCTGGTGGTCAGTGTGTATTATAGCTACTGGTCAAATGTTTGCTTAGGCTTTTATATATATAGATATATGGATATTTTACCCCCAAGTTTTCCCCCTTGAATGTATTTTACTTTATAATTAGGGAAAAAGAAAGATGGAGTTTGTGAGTGTGTTTGTGCGTCTATCAATATCTATGTATCTATCTAGGTTTATCTATCAAGAGAAAGCGAGTGTTCTAAAAGAAGTCAATTATTTATTATTGGAGTATTCATTTCCTAGGTGTCTGGTATTGGTATAATATTGTGCTAGGCCTGAGGAGAATTCAAAAAGAAATCAAGCACAGATACTTAGCCATTTCAACAATTGTGCTGTAATTGTCTCCCATGTTTTAGGCCTTGTGCGGGGTACTAAGGCTGCAAAAGTGAGCCAATCGAGTTTGCCAGTGTGAGGACTGTGTGCTTGCCTCCCAGGTACATGCTGTTTCATGGGTGAACGTAAACCATTCACCAATGAAAAAGTTAATAAGTAATACGTCAAGGTTCCAAAATTAGAGACAAGTATAAAGTGCTATCAGATAATGGGCAGCACGGTCCTGAGCAAGTCAGTTGAGATCAGTTTGGGATGCTTACTGCATTTTAAAAAGAACAAAAGCAATGTGGGCTGGTGGAAAGGAAGGGAGTGGTTGATCAAAGCAGGGTAACTGTCAAGTGCCAATAAATGGAGGACTTTGTCTTGGTTGAGGAGGTGAGCCAGCTATCTATCTAGAAAAGGGCTTCCTAACCTGAAACTGTATAACAACATTATGTGCATGTGTCTGTTCCATGGGATGTGAGAGAGTTCATAACTTTCATCAGATGCTTAAAGGGCATTTGACTACAGTTTGCACAGACTCCTGATGAGTCCCTAGATATATTTCCTTTGAAAGGGTGTGTGTGTTGGGGGAGGGGGAAATGGAGGAAAAAAACAAGTTGTCCAGAAAACTCTTAGGTAGAAGGTAACAACATCCAAAAGATTACACTACAGCAGTTCCTGCTAATGACACTCAGAAGCTTTGTTTTTCTCTATCACCTTTAAATTCCTCAGCCTGCCACTGGCAACCTCCCAACTTCCACCTATCCTCCCCACCAGCCTAATTCTCCATTATTCTTCTAGGTTCTTACTTCTTAACCTTTTCACCATTCTATCCAAATTGCCTCCATATCACTGAGCCTTCTTTCTTGGCCAGTTTTTTCCTCAGGTCTTTCATAACACCAGACACTCCTGGTTTTCCTCCTGCCTCTCTAGGCATCTCTTAGTCTGCATTCCAAGATACTTCTTATTTGCTCCACCTTTTTTTTTTTTTTTTTTTTTTTTTTTTTTTTTTAACTTTTCATTTTGAAATATAGTTTCACAGGAAATTGCAAAACAGTGTCCAGGGAAGACCCATATACCATTCACCCAGTTTCCTGCAATGCTAGCATTTTACATAACACCAGTACAATATCAAAACCAGGAAGATGACATCAATGCAGTCTGAGTTTATTCAGGTTGCCTCATCTTTATAGGCACTCGTGTGTGTGCATGTGTGTGTGTAGTTCTGTGTAATTTTGTCACATGTCTAGTTTTGTTTAAATTACCACCATAACTGCTCCATAACTACAGGTTTGCTGATGCTGCCCTTTTATGGCCACCATCTCCTCCCAACCCTAAACCCAGGCAGCCATTTGTCTGCTCCCCATAACTATAATTTTGTCATTTAGGAATGTTATATACAAGAATATGTAAACTTTTGAGATTTTTTTTTCCTCATTCAACATAATTTCCTTGAGATTCATCCAACTTGTTGAGTCAATCAGTAGTTCATTCCTTTTTATTGCTGTGTAGTTTTTCCATGGTAGGGATGTACCGAAGTTTGTCTCAGTATTTCCTCACTGAAGGACGTTTGGGTCATTTCCAGTTTTGGGCTATTATGAATAAAACGTCTATGAACATTTGTGTCTGTATATGAAATTATGTACTGTAGAAACATAAGATTTCATTTTCCTGGGTAAAAATATGTGCAAGAGTGCAATTGCTGAGTTATGTGTTAAGTGCATGTTTAGTTTTTCAAGAAGCTGCCCAACTATTTTTCAGAGTGGCTTGTACCATTTTACATTTTACATTCCTACCAGCAGTGTATGAATGATCTTGTTTCTCCATAGCCTTCCCAGCATTCGGTGTTTTTAACTTTTCATTTGAACCATTCTGATAGGTATGTATTATAGTACCATGTCATTGTGGATTTAATTTGCATTTTCTTAATGGCTAATGTTGTGGACATATTTTCATGTGCTTATTTGCCATTTGTATGTCTTCTTTGGCTAAATGTCTTTAATGTATTTTGCCCATTTTTTTAAGGGGCTTGTTTGGAGTTTCTTTATGTAGTCTACATACTATCTTTGTTCAGTATGTGGTTTACAAATATGTCCTTCCAGTTTTAGTTTGCCTTTTCTTCCTCTTACTTGGGGTATTAGTTTCCTGTGGCTTTTGTAACAAATTGCTACAAACTTGGTGGCATAAAGCAATAAGTTTATTCTCTTATTTTTCTGCAGGCCAGGAGCCAGCAATCAGTTTCTCTGGGCCACCAATGTTTCAGCAGGGCTGAGCGCCTCCTGGAGGCTCTAACGGACATATTTCCTTGGCTTTTCCGGATTCCAGAGCAAGCATGTTAGCTACTGTGAATCAATCTATTATGACCATTCTTTTGCTGTTTTTTATTGTTGTTGTTTTTGTAGATATACATTCCCTTTTCTTAAAGAAACATTCATGAGTAGAATTTGTCCATAGGTGATATATTTGTTTACTTTTAAAGGAAACTTCCAAAATGTTCTCCAAGATGGTTATGCCATTTTCACCTAGAGTGCTCCTCGGGGTTTTTTTGTGTGTGTTTTTTTAAAGTATGTTTCTGGAACGCTAGAGGATACTTTATGTCCTTTTCAGAGAAACAAAATTAAGCAAGTAGAATTTTAACAAGGAAAGATTTTTTAAAAAGGATTTACACCATTTATTTATTCTTCTACCTCTTTGCAAATATTTATATTCTCTCTGAAAAGGTGCATAGATCCTGGAAATTTAAGAACAAGCATCAATAAGTCTTTTGATCACCTCTGCTTCCAATGAGGAAAATAAATAACTCAGGAGCTCAGGACCTAATGAAGGGATTTGTTCCTGATCTCCCTCCATATGGACGCCCAGAGAGCAAGGAATATGTGTTCCCACTTTGTATGTGTTTTGCTAGGTTTCAGTTTTGTCTTTGATAAATAGGATGGATGAACTTGAAAGTCCACATAGCACTAGCACTAACACCAGATTATTCCCTGGCTGCCAAGCACTGAGCTGTATCTGAGAGAAGGGAAAGGTCAGCCACAATTCTCTGTTCTGGTATTTATACGTACGTTTAGTCCTCTTGCTGCATCTGTTTCTTCCCTGTAGTCCTTTCAAGCATTGAACATTACATCTTGAAATTTCCACTTTGTTTTTCAGGCCAAAGAAGCCCTAGAAAATACTGAAGTTCCTGTTGGCTGCCTTCTGGTCTACAACAACGAGGTTGTGGGGAAAGGAAGGAATGAAGTTAATCAAACCAAAAATGTATGTGAGTATAATTGCATATACAGGGCAATGACAGTTAAAGTGGGTGCAGTTATCACAGCTGGTGAGAAGATGGGTCTCTGTAGAGTCCGATAAAGTATCAACGGAAAGGTAGTTTCCCTAAACAGCTCTTTTTGTTGAATGCCTTTTTTTTTTTCTTTTTTCTTTTTTTTTCTTTCTGATTCTAAAAGTGACACATGTTGACTTTAACACTTTAACCTCAGGACAATTTTATTACATTGATATGTCAGTATAGAAGAAATGAGTCTATCTCTGTTTTAAGCAAAGCTAATATATGAAAATTTCACTTTAACTTATCTCTTTAACTCATATCACATACTTTAGTAGCTCTAAAAGGATGTATAAAGAAGCTATTTCTATTTCAGATAATTCAATGGGATGAAGTCTCCACTACATGGAGTATGTACACTTTACTAGGTTATTAGATTTTTAATTTATTGTGGTTAGGTTGGGAAGCTTATGAATTAAGGCAACCCTTCTTGAATACGGTTATCACAACAGTGTGTCCCAGTAACCATAGATGAAGCGTCAGATTTTAAGATTATAAGAAATAAGAAGCACTCAGTGGACTCAAGGAGAGCATAAGCCCAGTCTCACAGACTTTGATCTTGTTGTGTGACCTTGGCAGCCAGGGAACAATCTGGTGTTAGTGCTAGTGCTATGTGGACTTTCAAGTTCATCCATCCTATCTATCAAAGACAAAACTGAGACCTAGCAAAACACATACAAAGTGGGAACACATATTCTCAAAGCAATTATGTGGAGTCAAAATATCTGTGAGATAAGTAATAAACACAATACTGCAATTAGTGACTATATAGATACCTATATTTGGGAGTAGAATTTTAGGTAATTGTCATATTTCCCCATTTGTATTTTGTGATTTATTTGGCACAGTATCTTTAACATAAGAACTTTGGATGTCCTCACAACATTCATCTAACTGCCCAATGACATGTTTTCTTCTTTACTTTGAAATTAACCTGGATTATTTTGGTATTCTGTGTCCTATAGAAGATTATCCTATAATCACAGTCTAGAAAGACTCCTGACCCCAAATGAGGAAACCTGAGCCCTTCTTTGGCTTTAATACAGCTCCAATTTCCAGTTACCATCGTTATCACCTGTTCCATTGTGTGGCTTTAATACATTCTGTCTTAGCTTCTGGTTCTTCTGCCATAAAGGAGGAAGTTGCTTAATATGATTCAGTCCAACAATAACTTATTGAGAACTATGGGGAGATTTGATTTAATCATTCTAAATCTGATTTATAAAAAGCACTCTAATTGGGGAAACTTTTCCAAGCTCCCCAGTGGGTTCTGATATGCCACCAGGTTTGGGAACCTCTTTTCTAAAATCCCTTCTGGCTCTGAGTTTATAATCGTGGCTTTCATGATACTTGGGTCATTGTGACAGCATTTTTCACACTCTGTCCTTGGTCACAGGTAAATGAGCAACTTTCTGTTTACCAGACTTTAGTCTTGTTGAGGACAGAGAGTTTTATTCCACACAGAATTTAGCACAGTGGCTTGGATATAGATAATACTCAATATAAGTTTATTGATATATGTGATGATCATGCATATCTACATATATAAAAGCCTAAGCGACCGGTTGAACAGTTACTATGACATGCACTGACCGCCAGGGGGCAGACACTCAATGCAGGAGCTGCCCCCTGATGGTTAGTGTGCTACCACAGCCAACCTCCGGTAGCCCCTCCCCCCAACCTGATTGGGACTAGACGAGATGGCTAGGCTGAGGAACCCCACCCGTGCATGAATTTGTACACTGGGTCTCTAGTTATAAATAATTATTGCATAAAAGAGTACATTATGGCATTATACAGCCTGTGCTTCCCATAATTCAGATTGCTTTGAGAGGTGTAGGAAACAGTGCACTCCATTTTACCTATGGGTAAACCAAGACTTAGAGAAAATATGTAACTAATTTGCACAAGGCCACATAATTAGTAATGTCACAATAAGGATTAAATTTAAACATGGTTGATTCCAAATGCTGTGTGATTTCTCCTGAATTCTACTGCTTACATGAGGTATCTGAGAGCTAAACCAAAAACCTGCCAGTATATAAAATCTTATCCCAAAGAAAATGTGAGGCATTCAGTAAAAATAAAATGTAGATACTTAGAGTAAGGTCAGTAACAGCCTTGAAAACATTTGAAACTGGAGCAAAATGAAAATTTTGCTTATGAAAATTCCCTAAAATATTCAGAAATACTAGGATCATCTTTCTTTCTTTCTTTCTTTCTTTCTTTCTTTCTTTCTTTCTTTCTTTCTTTCTTTCTTTCTTTCTTTTTTTTTAAATATATATTTTATTTATTTTGTACAGAGAGGAAGGGAGAGAGATAAAGAGTTAGAAACATCAATGAGAGAGAGTCATCGATCAGCTGCCTCTTGCACACCCCCTACTGGGGATATGCCCGCAACCAAGATACATGCCCTTGACCGTAATCGAACCTGGGACCCTTCAGTCCCCAAGCCGACACTCTATCCACTGAGCCAAACCGGTTTCTGCATCTTTTTTTAAAATTTTTTTATAAGACATTTCTTCACTGTGGCATTTTAATTGAAGGAGCATACCCTTACTTAACTACAATATAGCATGGTACTTAACTACAATATAGCATGATTCGTACAGCATTTCAGATGAAATGTCTTTTTTTGGTGATGTTACGGTACTTGACCTGGGGACTAGGTTGTCAACTGCTAAAATACAGTTACCTATAGCAAACATTGTCAAGGCAAGAAGCTCCTCTCTCTTTTCAGGCGACTCGACATGCAGAAATGGTGGCCATCGACCAGGCCCTAGCCTGGTGCCGGGGCAGCGGCCGGAGCCCCTCCGCGGTGTTTGAGCAAACGGTGCTGTACGTCACGGTGGAGCCATGCATCATGTGCGCAGCTGCCCTCCGCCTCATGAGTATCCTTGGGCTTCGTGGTTGATGTCTGTACCCTTCCTGTGAACTTGAAAGTGGCCGGACAGGTAACCTGTCCCTACAGAGACTTATGAAACAAATTCTAGGAGGGAAGGCCAAAATGCTTTAGAAAAGATTTTTAAATAGTAAAATAGCCTTTTTGAAAAATGTCTATAAAAAAGAAAAAGAAGAAGAAAAATGTCTATAAACATGGAACTATATAAACTGAGATGGAAAAGCTTAGCATTAATTTGAACTGTAATAGAAGAATAAATCATAATTTAAGTTAAAATAGGATAAAACTACATAAAGAAAGGTCTGGGAAAAAAATGCACCTAAGGCTTGCCTTTGGATAATAGATTTTGGTGATTTAAATTTTTTCTTTCTCCATTTATTTGCTTGTTTGTTTGTTTTTTTTAATATATTTTTATTGATTTCAGAGTGGAAGGGAGAGAGAAAAAGAGATAAAAACATCAATGATGAGAGAGAAACATTGATTGGCTGCCTCCTGTATGCCCTCTATTGGGGATGGAGCTGGCAACCCAGGCATGTGCCCTTGTCCAGAATCGAACCTGAGATCCTTCAGTCCACAGACCATTGCTCTATCCACCTCGCCAAACCGGCTAGGGCTGTTTATATGTTTTTATTTGCTTACTTTTGCCATAAATACTTATTATGATATATGATAAATTTTGTCAAAAGTCAATATAAAGAACTAACCAATATATTATGATATAGTTGTAAATAAATGGGAAACTGATAGTTACAGCTCTTTGTCTTCCATAGAGTACCGTATTTTTCGGACCATAAGACGCACCGGACCATAAGACGCACCAGTTTTTAGAGAAGGGAAATGAAGAAAAAAAGATTCTGAAACAAATAGTGTCCTAAAATATTTTATGTGCATTAAAACCCAACATCACAGTCATAAACACATGTAATCAACCCTGTAAAGTAAACAGCAGCATTTAGAACCATTTTAGAGCCGGGCAAGCACACAGAGACCACACAGAGCCGGGCAAGTAAAAAAACTTTTTTTTAAAGTATATGTGTAGGCTATATTTGGACCATAAGACGCAGGGACTTTTCCCCCCCACTTCTGTGGGAAAAAAAAGTGCATCTTATGGTCCGAAAAATACGGTAAGTGACACAAATACTGAGTACTGCAAGTTAGTCTCTAAAGATTTAAACAAATTTATGTAATAATTTAAAACTCAGTTTCACACTTGGATGTTTTTATCTATGTATTTTGCTGTCTATGGGTGAAACATTTGATCACTTTTAAAATAATACAGAGAGTTTTGAGTCTGATAAAATGTACAATCTCGATAAAGAAGCCAGTATTAGTCAACAGATTTCTATACAGAGTGGTTCAGCTTTAGCCCGCTTTGTACTGGGCATAGGATATATTTTATTTGGGGAAATCACAGATAACAATTTGTTATCTCTACAAGGTGAAAATCTCTGGATTAAATACCTGCCTCTTTTTTTGGCTCTGATTCTCTAATGATTCCAAAACAACCGATTTTAGGAAAAACCAGAGAGAACACCACACTGAACATTTGCCAGTTATATATTTAGTTTTCATTCTGTTTGCAGTTGTGAGATATTAATTTCTAAATCCTTTAAACCTCTTTTGTGTAACTCATTTTATGATTTTTAAGCTTAAACCCAAGCTCAGTTGTTTTAAGAGTAGCATGAGCTTTCCTCTCCAGAATGGCCGGTGTAAATCCTAGTTTTGTCTTGTACTGCACATTCTCTGTAGGACCTTAATTCTCTCACATAAATCCCGCTGGTTGTGTATGGCTGTCAGAATGAACGTTTTGGTGGTTGTGGCTCTGTTCTAGACATTGCCTCTGCTGATTTACCAAATACTGGGAGACCGTTTCAGGTAACATGAATTGTTATGCTTTTTGTTTCTTTCTAATGTCTTTGATCTCATCATGGGCTTGTGAATAGTGAGCATATGGTGGGTATACCCGAAACCAGGATAGAACTACACAGGTTCTCAGGACTGCTGGTCGAATTCAGTGAGTGACAGGCAGTCATTTCCGGGTGAGTACCCAGCTCAGAATCAACTGAATTTGTGTTGGAGGAGAGCCTTCCAAGGTATCTTCTGACAACCTTTGCCCAGGCCTTGAGGCATGCTCGAGGACATTATCTACTGTTGGCGTTTTCACTCAGTGAGTGTTCCTGGCTCCATGCTATAACAAGTTTGTGTGAAGCTTGGCCTCTGACAGTGACAGTAGATGCTGTTTACCATAAACACAATGTTTTTGCACAAATTCAGTAATTCGCTCGATTGCTGCATACTATTTTTGGTGTGTAGCAATCAATACCTGTATTTTATTTTTCCCCGTGCCCTTGATATTGAGCGGGTAGTTCTAGCAGAGTCCTGGGGGCACAGGCCAGCGAGGGTGAGGTTAAGGAGGAAATGAGAGCCCCCAAACTGAAGGCCATGATTCTGGAAAATCCTCAAGGAGCAGCGGAGAGTAGCTTGCCTGGGCACAAGGTAGAAGGAAGGTCATTGGGCTGTTTTCCCCAGCTTTATTGAGGTATTATTGACATCTAGCATTGTGTAAGTTTAAGGTGTAAGACATGATGATTTGATACATGTATATATTGTGACATGTTTACCACAATAAGGTGGGTTAACACATCCTTCACCTTATATAATTATTGGGTCGGCAGCTAAGTAATTGCGGATTTTTAAAAGAAAATCAAAGACAATTTTTTTATGGAACTAAATAACTTTATTCTGTAATGTATTGCCCATTTTGATCAATGACCTTTTGCCATCTTTCAGGCAGCATCATAATCCCACGTTCAAAAAACTTCTGGTTTTTATTAGCAAAAAACTGAATCAGGTACGATTTGACATCATCATCATTATTGAAATTTTTACCATTCAAGGAGTTTTGTAAAGATCGAAACAAAAAGTAATCAGATGGTGCAAGGTCAGGACTATATGGTGGATGTGGCAAAACATCCCAACCAAGCTCCATTAATTTTTGCTGAGTGACCAAAGATGTGTGTGGCCTTGCATTGTCATGATGGAATACAACACCTTTTCGATTTGTCAATTCGGGCCACTTTTCTTCAACTGCATTGTTTAATTTTGTTAGTTGTTCAATGTAGACATCAGAATTGATCGTTTGGTTGGGTGGTAAGAGTTCAAAGTAGACAATTCCTTTGTAATCCCACCAAACTGATAACAAAACCTTCTTTTGATGAATATCAGCTTTTGATGTTGTTTGAGTTGGTTCACCTGGCCTGCTCCACGATCTTTTCCGCTTGATATTGTTGTAAACAACCCATTTTTCATTGCCAGTTATCAGTCGTTTTAAAAATGGATCATTTTCATTACGTTTCTTTAGCAAATGGCAGCTGCTAATGCGTTGCGTTAACTGTGATTCTTTCAGTTCGTGAGGAACCCATGTATCGAGTTTTTGAACATAGCCAAGTTGTTTTAAGTGATTTTCAATGCATGTATGTGATACATGAAGCTTCTCTGCAATCTCACGTGTTGTACTGTGACAGTCCGAATTGATTATTGCTTTGATTAGGGCGTCATAAACTTCAACTGGACGACCAGAGCGTTTTTCATCTTTGAGTGAAAAATCACCAGAACGAAATTTGGCAAACCAATTTTGACACTGCCGTTCTTTTAAGGCTTCGTCACCATAAACAGCACATAACTTTTTATGAGCTTGCGATGCGTTTTTCCCTTTGCGGAAATAAAAAAGCAAAATATGACGAAAATGTTCCTTTTGATTTTCCATTTTTCAACGAACGCCAAACGAAAACTACAAAACAGATCAAAAAACTTTTTTTACTGATTAACAGCTGAATAGCCAACTATCAAATAACAAAATGTGTTTTACATTTGTACTACGTCTGCAAACCTAAAAATTCAACTGAAGCCATATATGTGTGAAACCCGCAATTACTTAGCTGCCGACCCAATACCATGTTGTCATTGTTGCTCTGGTGAGAACATTTAAACTCTACTCTCATAGCAACTATAGTATATAATATAGTTATCTTGCTGAATCTTAAATTTCCTGGAACTTAACCCTCTTATAACAGAAAGTTTGAACCTTTTGGCCAGTGTCTCCCCATTTCTGTCACCCCTTGGCCTCTGGCAACCAACCTCTGCTTCTAAAAGAAAATATAGTATATAAATACACACACACAGAATATTATTCAGCTATAAACAAAGAGATCCTTCCATTTACGACAACATGATGGATCTCTAGGGTATTATGCAAAGTCAGACAGAAAAGGACAAATACTGCAGGATTTCACTTATATGTGAAATCTAAACATGTTGAACTCCTAAGAGGCTATTTGCTTTGATGGGGAAGGTTTTTGCAGCCTCTGTAGGTGCAGGAGAAAGGGGGCCTCATTTTGAGCAGCAGATGGAGCCTGCCAGTCCCCTGTGGTGCTGCTCTCTGGTTCCTTCTTGACTGTATGCTGCCTCCAGACGGGCCTTCCTGAAGTCTCTGCTCTTATTTCATGCAACTCAGAAGGGTGCAATGTATCAAGTTCAAACTCCTGCCACAAGCTTTCAAAGCCCTACATATTTTTACTTTGTTTATTCTCTAATTTCTTTCCTTATACTTTCTCAATAACCACTCCTGCCCCATCAGCTGGTTTCCTCACATACAACCCAAGCTTGTTCTTATTCTTTCCCTAATATGTTCTGTTTAGCCTCTTTAAATATTCTCTATCATTAGGGCAGGTTCAAGTTTCAGATCTTTACCTTGCCACAATTTCGCTTTCTTCCATGTTATTCTTTTTTCCCAATTAGGTACCAAGATAGCACAAAGTGAACACTTTAAAAATCCTCTATAGTAATTAAGGATTGACAATTTTTTCCCCTGTAAAGGGCCTGATAGTAAATATTTTAATTTTTGTGAGCCATTTATGTCTCTATCCATATTCTTATTTTTTTAACCCTTTATAAAGATAAAACCCCTTTTTATCTAATAATTTTTAGCTGTGGACAGCCAACCATAGCTCTATAGCAGAGGTCGGCAAACTGCAGCTCGCGAGCCGCATGCGGCTTCTGAGCTACTGTTTGCCGCTCTGTTGACTAATGAATTTGCTGACCACTGCTCTATAGCATCAAACACTTACTGGACCACATTAAATAAGACCAGATAAAAATAACTAATACTTACTGAGCCCTAATGATGTGCTAGGTTCTTAACAGGCATGGTTTTATTTAATTTTATTGAATCCTCACAAATCCTTCTGGGTTAATTTGCTATAATTAAATACATTTTACATATGAGAAAACTGAAGCATAGAGACTTTAAGAATTTTACCCTATGTCACATAGTTCATAACTTCAATAGTAGTTGGTTGAGAAATAATAACTAGTTGATTGAGATTATATTTGACAGGCCAGATAGCTATTCTTTTGGAAACATGCTTCCCGTGTTATTAATATCCACAAAGTGTATTAACATGATCTGTTTATATAAATATATATATGTTGCCTTTTTTATGGAACACAACACACATTATCATAGGCCTATGGTCATTCTGAACTTTCTCTTTTCATCAGTGCATTCCAGGGTATCGGGCTGAGGAAGCAGTGGAAATGTTAAAGAACTTCTACAAACAAGAAAATCCAAATGGTCAGTTTTCCCTATTGTATATAAAGTACCTCACTTCAAACAAATCAGGACAAAGAGAGTCTGACACGGCCTGCCTCTTCACCTTCTCTTTTTCTTTTCTGTCCTCATAGCACCAAAATCAAAGGTTCGGAAAAAGGAGTGCCAGAGACCCTGAGTTTGTTTTAACGAAGGACTGACGCCCCTGGATGAAATTCTTGCCTGAACACTGGTGATGTCATTGAAGCAGATGTTATGTATCGTCCTTAACCTGTGGGAAAATGGTCTCTCATCATTTCCTCTGTTAAAGGAACACATGAACACTGTGACAAAGTCTGACAATTGCAATAAACAGTTTTTCCACAAGCTGGAAAATGGAAGATCAAGGTTTTAGAAATTAGTGAGCAGCATGATGCACTTCCTGCCAAATGCATCACCAGTTCAGGACAGTGCTGTCAGAGCATGTACCAGTGCCGGGCTGTGCCACTGCGGACCCCTGCTCCACGCCTGGTGTTGCAGAACTGCATTTTTCATTCTTTGCATCCACTGTGTTCTCCCAGCCTGCTGGGGGCCCGTGACTTCCTTGGAAATTGTCTGTGTTGCGTACCTGTAGACCGTGATTATCTGGTCTTTTGAACAGATTTTTACCTTTACAAAGCATTTAGAGAAAATGCATATCGTAAAACAAGTGCTTACGTGTCATTTTAAATTGCAACATATTGCTAAAATAAAACCGTATTTGTGCCTTTTTTTTTTAAAGATGGATAATGTTCAAAATAGAAGATAAAACCATAAAGGGGACAATTCCTTCTTGGTTATTGAGCAACTGTATTGGGCATCAGTGAACAAAACAAAGAATCCTGCCCTCATGGAGCTTATGTTCTAGCAGGGGAGACAGATACTAAACAGAATAGATTATATAGCATGTGAGAGCGTGGTCCGGATTAGGCTAAAACAATGGGCATGCTATTGGTGGTGGCAATGCTGGTTGCACAACTAAATTGATCTGAAATTGAATACAGTTCTTTATTTAAAAATCCAGATTTAGAATTTAAAGTCTAAAATTATACAGTGTGAACACAGCCCAGGAAAAGGTATCCACAGCAGGCACTCACAGACATTCCCGCTGACTGGCTGAGGCGCTGCAGAGCTGGGCTGCAGTGCTCAGAGCTGGGCTGCAGTGCTCCCTGTCTGCCCAGAAGGGGGCCTCCGTGTTCTACCGGAAGCCCCGCTCCAGGCCCTGGACAGCAGCTCCTCAGTTGCATTTCTTCAGTGGGTTTATTTCCTTGATGCAAAGCATCTGTATTTGTTGGTTCTGCCATTTGAACGATGTCTCTGACTTGTTTGTTTTGAATTACATTACAGGCTGGAAAGTAATTGTAAAAGTTTTTTATATTGCTGAGAGTAGCAGCTAATCACAGTGACATGCTTCAGAGGATTTATAATTGCTCTATTTTGTATGTATATGTTTTTAACTGCATTTGAGTTTTTATGGAGAAGAATAAGCATGATTTTAAATCTATAATAATGTTACATGTAACTTCTCTTCAATTTATCCTGCTTTTAAGATTATCCTCTCATTAAATTTTAGTGCTTTGACTAGTTTATTCCTATTTGTAGTCGGTCATAATTCATTTCTGGCTCCGTATGCTTTTCGGCAAGCAGACATCATTTCACTTACTGTCTTCATATCATTTTCTGGAAGATTATTTGCAGACAAAAAAACTTGGGATATTTCCTCCAGAGAGTACCACCCAGTATGTCTGGTTAAGCATCTTATGCCAAGTAGGTTCTTAGTAAACAAGTGTTAAATAAAATTATTAATTGGAATTTGGGAGGAAATTAGCAATAAAGAGACTGTCTAGGGTAAAAAGCCAAAACCAAAAATGGTATGTGGCTATTTTAACCCAGAGATAGTCACTACTAAACGTATCTAGAAAATATAATAATAAAAGTATAATATGCTAATTAGAACGGACAGCCAACTGACCTGCCACACTTCCTTCCAGACAAAGCTGGGGCTGCGAGGACCGAGGCAGCCACCATAGCTGCGAGGGCCGACCCCTTGCATGAATTTCGTGCACTGGGCCTCTAGTAAAATTATAAACAGGAAAGGATAGAAAAGACTTACAAATATACATATGTTCTGGTGGTGTTGTGTTTTGGAAAGTGGGTATTTTCTAATTCTTAAGCATGGCTGAAAATTTTAATTTTGGTAATGACCTTTTTGATTATTCAGTGACTGACATAGAAGTCTCCTAAATTTTTGGTCTTAGGCACAGTTCCCTGCCTAATTATTATTATTATTTTTGGAGGGGGTCAGTATAGATGGTGTATTGCAGATTGGAGGTTGGCACCTCTAGTGCTGGTATAGGACCATTATGGGATCAGAGACATTAAGACTGAAGAATTCTGACAGCAATTTTGAAGTGGTGGGGAAGAGTTGTGGATAGCTCATGAGGCGATCTTGCTTTCTGAGTACCACATTCTCCAGCTACTGAGACATGGCTTAAAATATTAAGATGCTCCAGTTAAAAAGATAGACTCCAAATGATTGATATTGATAGTAACTATGAGGCTAGCTGAGAGACATGCTTTGTGTATGAGATAATTCTGGAAGTTGTGGGATGCAAAAAGGTCTTAGAATTTCTACCCTGTTTAGAGAGATTACTGGGAAGTGATTGCATATATGTTGCTAGAGTATCCAATGTTTACTGGTTTTTGCAATGAATTCTGCTGAAATGGGTGGTAGATAATGCTCTGGCAGGCGTCAATCACTGATAAGAGAGCATGTTAAAATACCTTTGTACTTTCATGTTACTTGGCGAAGCATCTCTTCCTGTGTTGTATTTGGAATATCATGGAGAGAAATTAGACAGCCAATGTAGGCAAGAGCTATTCATTTTTCCTTAAATTCTCTGGAAATAATTTAAAGTGATAGCAAAGTTGCAAAAATACCCATGTATTCCTTATTCTTCAGACCTATTTTAACATTTTATACCTTTAGCTTTATTTGCTCGCTTTCTTCTCTCTCTATTGGTATATCATGGTTTCTCTGAACCATTTGGTACAAAATTACATGCATCATACATCACGGTCCTTTACCTAGAAATGTTTCAGTATTTATAAGCATAGGATATTCTCTTATATAATCACATCGATACATTACTTTTATCTACTGTGCTGCCCCTACTTTCCTCTGCAATATTAGATCCATTCTGGGGTCCAATATCATGTAACTCATGTGTCTTTAGCTTCTTTTAGTCTAGAACATTCCCATGGCCTCTCTGCTTTTTAGGACATTTAAAAAAATCATACAGTCAACCTGCCCCAACTTTTCCTTTTTTTCCTTCATAATGGTGTTTTCTCATGATTAGATTCAGGTTATGCCTTCTAGGTGATGTTATGTTCTCAGAGTGTCATATCTGGAGATACCTGGTGAAGATTTTATCTCATTCTACACTATATAATTGTGCGTTTTTCCCTCTTCAATGAATAAACAGTTTGGATTGGGAAACAGTTACATTGTTTTTTAAGTGTATTTGACATTGGCAGAAAGCAGGGGAAGAAAATTAATGACATAAATTTCTAAGCAACTGTTAAACTATTCAATTGTATGCTTTCTCTTTTATTATGTTTGCCAAAATTTACAAAATTCCCTAATAAGATAATTTTAAAAAGGGATGTCTTAATAAAAATTGAAAGAAGTATCAGAAATAAGTTCTTTCTCTCTTGATTGCCTCAGTAGAAGGTAATAATTATATTAACTTAATTATATCGGATAAAAATAGAGTTTGAGAAACTAGGTCTAAGATGTTTCTGGAATCACAGATGGCCCGTAATGATCCAATAGGATGTGTAATTCCAGGTAGGTAGTCATTTGGCCATTAAATAGTTTTCTTGGGTTTCCATAGAGACATCTAGACTTACAATGTTTCAAGCACTGTTATGTTTCAAATGAGCATCAATAAAAATAGTCAAGGCTCTTTAAAAAAAAATTAAAATTTTTTTAAAGTAGTGAGATTCCTGGTTAAAAGTCCATGTCGAAGCCAAAGTTTCTCTTTCCCAGTCATTCTGCATCAAGAAGAGGCACCAAGAACTGGTTTCCCTGCCTTTTGGCAGAGGAATGAGACTACATTGACTTCATCCATGAAGACAACTGCCAACTATTTTCTAAGCCATAACTGTTAATTGTATGTGGTAAGGGAAGGGGTGATGTTATTTTTATGGGTATAAGTTCTGATGGAAGTTTGACAATTTTAGGATATTAATTTTTTTTCAAGTGGAATTAATAAAAACAGGCTCAGGGGATTACTTCTTACCTGATTTTTAAGTGAATATTGTGGTTGAAGAAGCATGAACTTATGAGTCTAGGGCAGGAGTTGGCAAGTATGGCCCATGGGCCAAACCCAGCCTGCTGCCTATTTTGGTACCACTCACAAGTTAAAAATGGTTTATGTTTTTAAAAGGTTGAAATAAATCAAAAGAATTTAGTGACTGGTGAGCATTAAATGAAATTTAACTTTCAGAGTCCATAAATTCAGGTTTTTGGAATGCAGCCCTGCCCACTTGTTTCTTTCTTGTCTAGGGCTGCCTCTGACAACCGTGGCAGAACTGGGTGGTTGTGACAGAGGCCTATCTATGGCTCCCAAAGCCTAACTATTTCCTGTCTGGCCCTAAAAGAGAAGGTTTCCTGCCCTCTGGCCTAGAGATTCTAAAATGTTGAGGTTGGATTTCCAAGGTGCTTGTTCAAGTTCCGTGATTGTGGAACTGAATAACGTGGCTCATTGTGCAACTGTGGTGAATTGCTTCAGTACCATGATTTTTTAACATTGGTTTATAAATGTGAAACAGATATCCAAGACACTAACATTTATTCTGCCTTAAAATATTTTGTTTTCTTATATACACTTCAAGGGAGTGGCAAGAAGAAAATAATTGATCATTTTATTACTGTTTCAAATAAACAATATTTTATTTATAATCATCATAATACAAATGTTATCAAGTACTTATCATCTTTAGGAACCGTTGCTATAATGTCAAAAGTCTATTGGACTCTTAAGAACCAGAATCTTAATGGAATCTATCTCCATACCATCCCCTATCTCAGACCTTCCCCAAATTTCTCTGTAGTAGGTTTGGTAACCCTTTAGTGATAGAATCACATATACTGAGTTTGAAAGAAAGGCAAAAAATAAACATGTATTAGGTGTTTTATTATTATTATTATTATTATTATTATTACTACTACTAGAGGCCCAGTTCACAAAATTCATGCATGGGAGGTCCCCTTAGCCCAGCCTGCACCCTCTCCAATCTGGAATATCCCTCTCATAATCCTGGACTGCTGGCTCCTAATCACTTACCTGCCTGTCTGTCTAGATGCCCCTAGCTGCTCCCCTGCCAGCCTGATAACCCCTCACTGCCCTCCTTGCCAGTCTGGCCACCCCCTAACTGCCCCCCCTGCTGGCCTTGTCACCTCCAACTACCTCCCTCCCCACACTATCTGGTCACCCCTCATGGCCCCGCTGGCCTGGTTGGCCCACACAGCCTGCTTGTTCAGTCATTTGGTTGTCCCTCACTAACAACTCTGCCAGCTTGGCCATAGGCAGCCATCTTGTGAGGGTGTGAGGGCTAATTTGCATATTACATCTTTATTATACAGGATTATTATTATTATTATTATTTACCCAGCATTGACTTTAGGACCAGGCCTTATGTGTAATAGATACTAGGTCCAAATTCTAAA